GAAGACATTGGGGAACTTAAAAAGGGGTCTCTGATAATTACCTGCCAAGATAGCAGAGCGAAGGGCAACTCCATTTAATGCCAAATGAAAAAAAAAAAAAAAGAAGAAAAACTAGAAGCTTTAGAAGGTTCTTCTTCCTCATAAATTTCACTCTATTTAATCCAAGGGCAGAATTTTGCTCCCCACTTTGCTGTACTCATATAGAACAGGTGGTCCCAGAAATGATGACTGCAAAAAGGAATTCCTGTAAAGCATTCTTCATTATAAAAATCAAAGAGCTAATTTGCCAGATATTATTCCCCATTGGCCTGAGTTAGAAATATTTGGGCTTTAGCATACTGGGAGAAGGGAACTGTAATGTATATAACTATAACCACATACATGTGGAATGGGGTACATATGAAAATAGAGTAAAATCAAAGCCTACTTAAAATAGAGATCTCTGGATGGTAAAATTACAGATGAGCCTTTTTCTCTTCATCATATTATTCTGTATTTTACACATTCTATGCAAGGTGCATACACTATTCTCATAGAAAACAGACTTGTTGGGTTCTCCCTGGTGGTGCAACGGGTTAAAGCACCTCATTATGAAGCTCTCCAAAGCCACTGCAGCATGAGTTCAATCCCTATCCAGGAGCTGACCCACATGGTGCAGCAGACCTCTTCTGACCCTCCCACTGCTCCCCTCAGCAGTGAAATTTGTTAGTCTGCCTGTTCTGCTCCCCACTCTGACTCTGGTGGAATCCTCTCATCCACCACACCTCTGGCCAGTACCCCAGTTCTGTGTTCATAAGTAAAATTTTTAAAAAAATTTCCCCAGTTCAATTCTTTTTTTAACATTTCAGTATCATTTTTGTTCATGTACAAGTAGTTCCATGTCCTGGAGACTGAGTGTGAATACCAGCCTGTTATGGCTTCTTCCACACACCTAATGTCCTAAGGTGTTTGGGCTGCTGTAGACTGGTGATTTGTAAATATTTCTTTCTCACACTTCTGGAAACTAAGAAGTCCAAGGTCAATGTTCTGGCAAAATCAGTGACTGGTGAAGACTTTCTGTTTCACAGACTGGTGTCCTCTCACTGTGTTCTCCCTAGCAGAAGGAGCAGTGGCACTCTCTGCAGTCATAACAGTACTGACTCCATTCTTGAGGCTTCACTCTCATGCCAATCATCTTTCCAAGGCCCTACCATCACATTAGGTATTAGGAATTAACATGTGATTTGGGGAAGACACAAACATCCAAACCCATGAGCTTTGATAGCAGAGACCTACTCCTGAAACTCAAACATATGTATCACGCTCAGTGCTCAGACAATGGGAACATACACTAGGCGTGTGTTGGTCTGGATGGGCTAGCCAATAAAAAATGTCAGAATGGAACAGTCCACACCCCAATCAATAGTTATAATAATCTTCAATGGAGAGCTTATAGAGTCAAAGTCCCCCCTACATGGGACACACACACATATACAGCACCTTTCTCAGCGTCACTGTGGTGCTCCACATCTGAGGCAGCAAACCAACCCTGTGAAATCCTCTGGGTAGGAAAATGGAAGCACTAAATGAGCAAAGCAAAGGTGGATGGTTCCGTGCTGGCCATTGTCCACATGAGCTGTCTCCCTTGTTCTCTGGGAAGCCCTGGTTTTAGGATTGCTCATTCCATTAATAAATGAAAAGTAAGCACCTACATAATGCCTGCTCTGTCAGTCATTGTGCTAAGCACTTGACTATATTGTTCATTTAATACAGGGCCACAGTCCTAATATCCCAGTCCGTAGTTAAGGAAAATAGAGGCACAAAGAAGTCTAGCAACTTGTGGAAGATCACACACCTATTAAGTGTCAGAATTATAACTTGAAGTCAAGACACCAGTCTCTACAAGCTTGATCATAGTATACTCTCCTGGCTCTGGTGAAGATTTTTTTAACCAGACACAATTGGGTCCAGCAGTTCATGACTGAGCTAGGCTCTCATTCCATGACTCAATCTACGAAATAAGTGCTACCTGTCCTGGTCTCACTTGGTTGGTCTACGAGTTTTTATTTCCATCTTATTCCTCTCCATTATTGAATGACTCTTCAGTTTTGAAAAATCAGGGTCATTCTTCTCTCCTTCATTTTTTCACCTCTCATACACTCAACAAAGATGTTTATTCATTCTTAGCTCATGAATTAAGCCACAATCTGTACTGGGTGCTGGGCTCTATGGCATATAAGAGAGGCAAGTTCACTGTCTTTGTGAAGCTCTGGCAGGAAAGACGGACAAGGAGACATGCAAAAAACAAATAAATGGCCATCAATGGATGGATGGATGGATAAGCAATTATGGTATATAAGTGCAATGGAATTCAGCCATAATAAGTAATAAAGTACTGATGCATGCCGCAGTGTGCAGAAACCTTGAAAATATTTTGCTGAATGAAAGAGGCCAAACACAAAGTCCCCAGAGTATATGGTCAATTTACTGGATTTAGGCAAAACTGGCAAGTCCACAGAGATAGAAAGTAGATTAGTGTTTGCCAGGAGCCAGAGAATGCAGAGTAGAGAATGGAGAGAGAATGGAGAGTAAATGGTAATGAGAGTGAGATTTATTTGGGGATGATAGAAATGTTTTATGACTAGATAGAGATTGGTAGTTGCACAACATTGTGGATGTGCTAAATGCCTCTGAATTGTTCACTTTTGAATGGTTAATTTTATTTGTGAGAATTTCACTTAAACAAAAGCAAATAAAATAACCACAGCATGTGACTGATGCCATCCATTCAGCCCATGTGTAAAGAGAACCTATGAGCTAGGCTAGACACTCAAGATTCAGAACAAGCTCAGATCCTGCTTGCAAGGCTTTTAGAATCTTCTAGGTAGAGAGGGAAAGTCAAAAATCAGTTTAAAGTGAACTAATAGCTGGATAAGATATTTCAGATAACGGTGAGTACTTTGAAGGCACTATATGAAGGGACTGTGAGACTAAGAGAGTACTCAAGGGAGGCCTGCCTAAGAGGTGCAACGCTGCCCTCCCAAGGACACCAAGAACCCAAGCAGGCAAAAATCTTGAGGGAAAGAGATTCCAACAAAAGGATAACATCAAAGAGCAAGTGCAAAAACACATTCTAAGCACACAGATGGCCAGTGAGGCCAGGGCACCGAGCACAGACAGCAAGTCAGTTCAGGGAAAGTGGGGCATAAGAGCCTCACAACTAGGGAGTTTAGATTTTATTTACATACACTGGGACTCACTGATGAGTTTTCAGTAAAAGAATTGTTGTGCTCTAGTTTAAAACATAATATTGGCTGTGATATGGAGTATGTTTTTAAGGAGGTGAGAGGGAGTGGGCAAGCAGGGAGACCAGGAAAGTGAGAAGAAAAGAAAAACACTAATTCGAGGCAAACACGTTCTCCTTTGTTTATTGCAGCAGTATTTCCAATAGCCAAATATGGCTACAACCGAAATGCCCAAGGACAAATCAATGGATCAGGAAGATGTCAAGTATATATACATATATAAAAATAGATGAGCTCTTGCTTTTGCTACAACATGGATGGAACTGGAGAGGACAGTATCACTTATACACAGATTATGGAGAAACCAAATGAGTTAGATAAAGCCAAACTAATGGAAAAACCCTAGAATTGAGGCTACCAGAGGGAGAGGGGAGGGGTGAGAACAACATGAAGAGGAAACACAGTGGATGTTTTGGTGATGGCTGTGGTGTAGTAACAACTCCTGAAGGGGGGGATCCTGTACCTCTAAATCACAAGCAACATTGTAAACTAGTGTTACCTCAATTAAAAAAAATCTATAATCTATAAGTAACTTGGTTGGTTCCATTGAAATTGTAACCCAGGTTTGTAACAGCAAAGTAATCCATGTCCTAACAGATGTCTTGGACTCTTTTAGACTGTACTCCAGTGAAAGCTTTGCATTTGGAAAGTTTTACCCTTTGCCCTGAAATCATAATGCTTTATGATGAAGAATAAAAGAATATTGCTGGTGCTGGTAGCAGGAGAGAAACCAAATGATCACACTGGGGATAAATTTTGAAGATAATACAGGCAGAACTTGGTGGGTTGATATGGAAGTGAAAAAGTGAAGGATGCTTCCTAAATTTTTAACATGAGCAACTGGGATGGGTGGTTGTTGAGTGAGGAACCTGCCAGGCTGGCATGTCCCTGAGGGGTAAGCTGTGGTGAAGGTTTGCAAGGTAGGACTCCACTCAGGGAGCTCAGGGAGCAGCCCTCTTGCTATGTATTAACAGTAACAAACAAGTGTTTGGTTAGATTAGATAATGTGACAGTGAGTAGGAAGAACAACTTCGGGGAGATAAAGGGTAATCAATTTTATGGGGAGTTGAAGGGGACAGGCTGGCCACCTATACAGGGAGGATTTCCTGTGCAGATACTCAATGTAATTTCTGAGCTACCTCAGACCATGGCCACACAGTCAATGCCCACATAGGTGTCCAGGCTGCCTCCACGTGGGCCATTGTTCAAGGACAGGAGAGTTTCTTTCAAACCCTACAGCACAGGTGCATACAGAGGCCACAGGGCATGCATGGAAAGGCCACAGGTAGTGGACCAACTATCAAGGTGAGGAACATTCAAGGAGGAAAAAAATTAGAGTTTAGTCAAAAATTTGGTTTCGGCCCTTCTGAGTTTGAGTTGCCTACTCATTGCCCAAGTAAAGATGACCCCACTAGAAGGAAATAAGGTGATGGGTGAGTACACAGGCGGGATGGAGGGTGGTTGTCTCTCGCTTCCCCAGACTCTGACCTGCTGTCTCTATTGTGGGAATTGCTCTGCTAAGAGTCTCTATGGAGTCTTCCTGGAGCCTTCCCCTTCCCCCACCTCTGGAACTCTGTGGATGCTGTTGCAGTCGCCTTGGTGATGGGCACGCCCAGCTCCCCTCACTCTTCAGACTGGAAAGGAGTTCGGGAGGTTGGAGGTCCCTGCCACTCACCGTGAAGGTCCTGGGCCAGACCCCAGCATCCAGCAGGGACCATGCCAGTTTTGATACCTCCCGCTGAGCGCAGCCAGGATCAGCGGGTTGGGGCTCCAGCATGGCGCCAGGCGGCCAAGGATATCACGCAGAAGGCCCGCCAGCTGACCAACCGCTGCGGGAGGGAAGCGGTGACCATGTGGCAACCTGAGGACAGCATTCAGGACCCACACGTGGCGAGCCACCTCTGCCGCGCCGCCTACATCCTGCCTTGGCGCTTCCGCGTGGAGATGCTCAAAGGTGGTGGCACTGTAGAGAAGCCGCCACCGGGTGAGGGCGTCACTTTGTGGAAGAGCAAGATGAAGCCCCCGGTCTGGCACGCACGCCTACCGCTGCCTATGCACCGCGACGCGCGGACCCTGCAGACCGCGGAGGTGGTGCAAGCACACGCGCGCGGGGCGCGCCTCACTGCTGCCCGCCTGGGCCGCGCACAGCACCAGATCAACGGGCAGGTGCAGCTACTGCAGCGCCAGCGGGAGAGCACCGACCACAGGCTCAGCGAAGTGCGCAAAGGTCTGCTGATTAACCAGCAGAGCGTCAAGCTGAGGGGCTACCGACCCAAGTCTGAGAAGGTGGGACCACTGCCCCCAAAAAAACCCAGTTGCAAAGACTGAGGTCTCTGTTCCTGGGTATTGGGGGAGGGAGGGAAGACCCTCCCCAAAGAGTAAGCACTCTCACCCCAAACCCCAGCTCCAGTGAACAGGGACACAGTAAGATGAGGATAGCCACAAGATGAGGTACCTGGTCTGCAGCCCCAGAAGGTGAAACTCTCCCAAAGGGATGAGAGTCTCAGCCCCCTTGTTCCAGAGGGGATCCTATTCGAGCCACCCAGCCAGGAGAGAAGGTGACACCTGTGAATAAGACTAGATGCAACTCTACCAGAGCAAAGCCCATAACCTCACCCAGGCAAAAAAATCACCCATCTCAGGTGTAGAGCATCCCATGGGCATGAGTGCCCTGGTCCCACTAAAACATACCCAAAGACCCAAGCTGAGGGAAGTAGGTGCCGCCCTTGGTCCAAGCCCAGATGAAACGTTCCCAAAACGTTTATTTTAGAGACCTAAGCCCTCTCTCCAGCTCTGGAAGAAAGAACCCTTCTCAGGCCTCATCTAAGTTAAAGGGACCACATCCTGCCTACAGGTTTGGACCCTCAAGTTTTACACCAGGGGAAAAGAAGAATACCCAGTGCCAGCCCTGGGGAAATCCTCCCTCTAAAGTGAAATCCCAGGCTCCTAACCCAAACAGGGAAGACATTCCAACTTCCTGAGGAGTGATGACACCCCACCCACAGAGTGAGATTCCTATTCCCAGTCACCAAATCCAGATAGTAAGATGCCAAAATGGCAAACCCTCATCACCTCTAAAATGATGAGAGCCATTCACATCTTGCTAGATAGAGAACCCCATCACTACAGAATATGGACCCCCAGGTCTAGAGAGTGAGAACAACCTTCCTCCAAAGTGTCAACAGCCCAGCTCATTGGACTCTTGCCTGTAAAGACAAAAGTTTCCAGCCCTACCCTCTGAGAGGTTCAGACACTCCCCACGGCTGCCCCCCACAAGTGCCAGTCACCTGAAAGAACAAACCCTTCTCAGAGTGAGATCCCCAACTGGTGAGAGTAACCCTAACTCCTCCAGGCCCAGTTTGTGAAGTAGGCAAGCCCCCCACCAAGCCCTAGAAATCTCCCTCTAGCCCTCTCCCAAAGGTGTGAAAAAGTCTCTTGTTTTCTAGATTCCAGACAAAGCTGACAGTATGCTTAAGTGGGAGAAGGAGGAGCTAAAGAGCATGAAGAGGAAGATGGAGGAAGATATGGAAAAATCAGAGGCCTTGCTCAAGGTTTGGAATAGTTGGGGCCAAGTTAAGAGGACTGAGATGTGGGGAGAACCAATGTCTCTGACGCTGGATACTATAGCAACAGCAAACCCCTCCATCCACGCACAAGCCACCCTGATTTCCATTTTGTGAAATGGAACTGACCTCGGAGAGATGGAGTGGAACCTCAAAATAACAATGGCCATCCCCTCTGTGCCAAACCCTATGTAGTCCTTGAGATAAGGCCTTACAACACTCCTGTGAAATGGAAACTAAATGGCCTTTTTAATGATAGGGGTGTTGAGAGAGATGGCCCCACCCAAGGCGCAGAGCTAGCTAATGGCAAGGTGTGTCTTCACCTCAGGTGCCTTTTATTTCCTGGCTTTACTGAAATATAATTGACAAAATTTGTTTCTGCACAAGGTGTACAACTTGATGATTCAAGTCACAGTAGTGACATAAAAGGACAATTGAAGTATTGATATATTCATCACCTTACACAATTACTGCTTTGTGTATATAAAGAGAACATTTAACAAATATCCCCTTAGCAAATTTCAATTCTAAAGTAACAGCATTGTTTTCTATAGTTACATGATTATACATTAGATCTCCAAAATGTGATCATCTTGCCTTGCTGAAACATTGTACCCAGTGTTACCAGTATCTCCCATTTACCCCTCCCTGCAGCCTCTGGGAACCATCACCCTAACTTGTACTTCTATGAGCTTTACTATTTGATACTCCATATACAAGTGAGATCATGTAGTAGTGGTCTTTCTGCACCTGGCTTATTTCACTTAGCATAATATCCTCAAGGTTCACCCATAGCATCACAAATGGCAAAGCTTTCTTTTGAAGTCTGAGTAATATTCCAAGTCAGTAATATTCCAGTTTGTCACATGTTCTTTGTGCATCACCCATTGACAGCCATTTCACATCCTGGCTATTCCACAACTAAGCTAAAATGAGTAAGAGTGCAGGATCCTGATACCCTGAATCTGTGCCCAGCAGTCAAAGAACTACCTTCTGATTCAGCTCAGGTGCCTTGACTTTAGAACTTTACATGTGCTCCATTTTGACGGCTCCAACCAAAGATGAACTTTCACTGCATTCTTTACTCTTGCCACCAGGAACCCCTCTTGAGGGCGCTAACGGAAATGGGAGAGTGGCCAGGTTTCAGAGCCTTTGGGACTAGTTAGGCTTAGCCTGTAATCTATGTGAGTGTCTTGATTTATCCACTTAACAAATATTAACCCAGTTTCTATTAGATATTAACAAAATACTGAACAAGACAGAGCTGGCCTTGTCCTCTCATGGTTCACCTTAGGGGGCTTCCTCCAAAAAAAAGGAACTGACCAGGATTGGAAGGTGGTATTGGGGAGTGGGAGATACTTATGGGCAAGGGCCTTAAACTCTATCTTTGGTGCTAATTACTTTAATTGCATTCATCTGAATAAGCAGGGGGCTTTGACGTTCTCAAGTCACTACGGTATTCCTCTAAATCTGGTGATTGCAGAAAATCCTTTCAGGAAATTTGAAAGAGAGTTGGGAATAGGGAGTGGGGGCAGGGGTGGCCTCTACCTTTGGTAGACGCTGAAGGATGGAGTTAAAAGCAAGAAAGGGGAATACAAAGATGAGAAAATATCTGATAGAAACAGAGACAGGTTGCCAAGAGAAAATTGGGTTGTAAATATTTCTGGATTGCACTCATGTGCTTCACCAAGCAAATAGATTTCAACTTAAAATCATGTACTCAAGCTTTGATAGACACTCAGAATCCCAGGGATCTCAATGTGCATCTCCAGAAGGCTCTCCCCACTGTGTAATTTATTTCCACCTTCTCTTTCAAGCTCTTTCCTCACTCTCAACAAATGGCCACAATGCCTGGCAGCCACTGAAGGGAACCGCTCTCGTTTTTCCTCTACCTTCCGCCAACTCCAGCTACCTCCACCACCACCACCACCCCTGACTTATCCATCATATTTCCTTCTCTGCTGAATCCTTCTCAAGTGAACCAATGGGAATTTTCTTTAATAGATACAGATCTATTTGGGGTGATGGAAAAATTCTGGAGATGGACAAAGGTTTTGGTTGCACATTGCACACGTGCTCATGCCACAATTGGGGCAGCTCGGTGATGTCTGATTGACCCAATGTAAAAATCCCACTTGTCTTGCTCTCCCTGATGGCACAGCAGGTTAAAGCACCACATTATGAAGCTCTCCACAGCCAAAGCAGCACAAGTTCCATCCCCCGCCAGGGAGCTGACCCACAGGGCGTGGCAGATCTCCCCTGACCCGCCCGCTGCTCCCTTCAGCAGTGTATTTCAGTACATCTGCCTGTTCTACTGCCTGTTCAGATCTGGCTGTTCAGTAGATCTGTTCCCCACTCTGTCTCTGGTCAATGAATCTTCTCACCCACCACCCATCTCTGGCCTGTACCCCAGTTCTGCAAGCATAAATAAATAGATCCTTTTTTTTTTAAGATTTATTTATTTATTCGTACAGAACTGGGGTACAGGCCAGAGATGTGGAGGGTGAGAGGATTCACCAGAGACAGAGCGGGAAGCAGAACAGGCAGATCGGCGAAGTACACTGCTGAGGGGAGCAGTGGGCGGGTCACGAGAGGTCTGCCACGCCATGTGGTCGCCTTCGGGGCAGGCGGGGATCGAACTCATGTGGAGGTGGCTTTAGCTTCTTAGTGCTGTGCGTTGACCTGCTGCGCCACAAGGGAGGGCCAATAGATTTTTTTTTTTAAAAAAATCACTTGTCTTGACCCCAGAAGACCCCCCTCTTCTCTAATCCACTCATGAGTCAATCTTGTCTATACACCTGAGCCTTTTCTTTGGGGTAGGAACTGGGCTGATTTTCCCACTGCATCACCCAACACACAAAAGCGGCCTAGGAGTACTTGAATTAATGAACAAAAGGCATTTTAAAACCATTTTTCATCCAAATTAATGAATTCCAAAGATATTATTTTCTGCTAAAGACAGAGTGCACACTGCATGGTTCCATTTATAGAAGGTTATAGGTCTCCCAGCCTTTTTCAAAGTCAGAAAAAGTGTCAATATTCTAAATTTTTTGTGCAACAAAGTCTTCATCACAACTACTTAATTTGGTCAGTGTAGCATAAACAACAACCAGACAGGAATGAGAGTGACCATATTCCTATAGAGTTTTATTTACAAAACAGGCAACTAGTCAACTAGTCCACATAAAGAACACAGGAAATGAACATACAAAGCAGCTTGGTGGGGACAGAGAACATGGCACTAGCCATTTCCTTATAGTCTATATTTTGAAGATAGTGGTGTTTCTATGAGCATATACATTTGCCAAAAAAAAAAAAATTGTGTTAAGATAATCTTCAGGGCCCTCCCTGGTGGCGCAGCGGGTTAAAGCACAGCACTAAGAAGCTTAAGCCACTTCAGCATGAGTTCGATCCCCGCCTGCCCCGGAAGTGATCACATGGCGCGGCAGACCTCTCCTGACCCGCCCGCTGCTCCCCTCAGCAGTGTGTCTCATCGATCTGCCTGTTCTGCTCCCCACTCTGTCTCTGGTGAATCCTCTCAGGGCTCCTGCACCTCTGGCCGGTACCCCAGTTCTGTATGCATAAATAAATCTTTTTTAAAAAAAAAGAGATAATCTTCAAACAATTGCAAGTATTAAAGGAATGCAGGTGAGTAGGCCCCCTAATCTGCAGTTTCACTGCCCGTGGTTTCTGTTCCTCTTAATCCAAAAATATTGTGTACAAAAGATATTTTTTAAGATTTATCTATGCATGCATGTATAAGAGCTGTGTGGTACAGGCCAGAGGTAAAGGGGTGAGAGGATTCACCAGAGACATAGTGGTGAGCAGAACAGGCAGGTCCACTAAAATACACTGCTGAGGGGAGCAGTGGGTGAAACAGGAGAGGTCTGCTGTACCATGTGGGTCAGCTCCCTGGTTAGGGATCGAACTCGTACTGCAGTGGCTGTGATAGCTTCAGAGTGCTAAGACTTAACCCCTTGAGCCATCAGGGAGACCTAGTAGAAAAGCTATTTCGAGAGAGAGACTACATTAACTTAACTGTATTAAATATATTTATACCATTGTTGTACTTTATTATTAGTTTTTTTTTTCACTCACTGTGCCTAATTTATAAATTTAACACTCTCCTCAGCCTTTGTGTCTCAGAAGCATGGTATATACAGACTTTGGTCCTGTCTCCATGGTTTCAGACATCTGCTGGAGGTCTTAAGACGCAATCCCGGACAATAAAGGGGCTTACTTATTTTTTTTTAAGATTTATTTATTTATGCATACAGAGCTGGGGTACCGGCCAGAGGTGCAGGAGCCATGAGAGGATTCACCAGAGACAGAGTGGGGAGAAGAACAGGCAGCTCATCAAAGTACACTGCTGAGGGGAGCAGCGGGCGGGTCAAGAGAGGTCTGCAGCACCATGTGGTCACCTCCGGGGCAGGCGTGGATCGAGCTCACGCTGAAGTGGCTTAAGCTTCTTAGTGCTGTGCTTTAACCCGCTGTGCCACCAGGGAGGGCCAGGGGCTTACTTATTTTATAAGGAGATATATTTTTTTTAATTGTAATAACATTGGTTTACAAAAATTTCAGCTCTTTTAAGAATTGTGTAGACTTTTTGGGATTGAACTTTTCCCCACACTATCCTGTATGTCCCTCTGCCCCTTTCCACACCTGTTCCCTTCCCTCTTACCTGCTTATTGATGTCCTCTAGCTATTGTAAATATCTTACTTTATCTTACTTTATGTAAATGTCCAGTATTTGTTCTTATCATTACAACCTGTTTTACTACACATAATTCTCTCAAACTCCCGCCATTTTGTGAAAATGGCTGCATTTCATCTTTCCTTATGTAGCTGAATAATATCCCATGTGATGTAGATGCCATCTCTTGATTCAGATGTCTATTGATGAATATTAAGTCTCCTTCCATGTCCTAACTTTTGTGAATAAAGCAGCTATGAATACTGTGGAGGAGCATAAGGTTTTTGTTTGTTTT